TTATAATTCTATCTCTCTCTCTCTCTTTATATATATATATATATAGAGAGAGTATATATATATAGAGAGAGAGAGAGATGTTACAAATTCACCTAATTGTGTGGACGTTTCTCTTAATTAATCCCTAATGAAATGTATGTATTTATTGTATTTATTATATTTGTACTAACGTATTTGGTTAAGGATATAACATGTGTTTTCTAAATTCTATAAAAGGGCATTTCACCCTTGTGAAACCCAGTAGAAGATATAAAAGGGTACTCTTTCACCCTTGTAAAGTACACTAGAAGAGATAAAAAGAATAGTCTCTACTACTTTATACTTCTTATTCGTATTTGTCTTTCATTTCTTATTTAGTATTATTATATTTTGCTCTCGTTTTACACTAAGAGATATTTATTTCTTTCATTCCGCAATTACGAGCTAACATATGATGTATAACTCCATTTCACAATCTGTAAATAGATGTTACATTGAGGTGTACTTGAAATACAAAATAGTAAACAAACATATGGTCTGTAATTGAGTTTTACGGCTTGTATGTGACCTATCAGACTAAATTTTCTAATTTTTTTTGTTCAACTCCCTATTTTACACTCATTTGCTCTTTTCTTCCTTTTTCACACGTTTTGTCACTCTTTAAACTCATGAACTCACACTTTAGCTCAGATACTAATAAACTTTTTATTTCAAAAATATTATTATGATTTTTTTTTCTTGTTAAGTTTGTGTCTTCAGTTCAGGTCTCCATACAAAATATTATTATTACTAACTTATGATGTTCCAATTCAAAATATACCTGCATTATAAATTTGTAGACTTGGGCACAATTGCAAAATCATTATGATGTTCCAATTAAAATATTGTGTTTTCAATTTGCACCGCGCCGCATCACAACAACGTAAAATATATCTAATTGGGACAAGAAAGGATAAAATATAAACTATCCTAATGAAATAAGATTATTTCATATGCAAATTTTCAATGAGAAAATATAATATAGAGTTGACTAGAATAATAAAGCCTAGATCAAGAATTTGATTAGATATTCTAATACGAAATATTGTTGTGTGATTTTAAAAAGTTGATGTAATGATGTTTAAATAGTTGACTTCTTGCCGTGTTTAAAATTTTAAGAAGGCACCAAAAAGTAATTTTAATACTTTTTTTTTTTTAAACAAACAACTATATAGTTTGTATAACGCACAAGGTTTGGACGTTCGAAAAACTTCAAAATATTCAATAAAAAGAGTATAAAAATAGTGAAGGGAGACCGAAAAAGATAAATATTTCTATTATATAGAAAAGTGAAGTGGTAAGACGATCAAAGGTAAATATATAATTTCATACTAACAAAAATCAATTAAAAAAGATAGTATGTTTTAGAAACATATTTCTATATATAAAGTGAATAATGTTTAAGGGTAAAAATCTAATTTCATGCTAACAGAAATCTACTAAGAATTATAACAAGGAAATTTAATGTTCTAGAAATGTCTTAGTTATTGTTATTACTGTTAACTTATTTTGTTAGTACTTCACTTTTTTTTGCGACTCAGTGTAATATCTATTCATTACTCTATCTTACTATTACTTTAATTTCATTCTTAATATTTTTTCTATTCATTATGCTTATAAAAATACCTACTTTAATGTAAAAATGCATTAGATATTAATTATTTTCACCTTTATTTTGATTTCAATTAATATACTTGAAAATAGAATGATGAAATTAATAATATATATAAGACTGAGATAAAGAAAAAGATGTTAAAAAGTAATTTTACAAATAAAAATGAATAGGATGATATATTTGCATTTAAGAAGACCAAGAATAAAATATAATTTCAATCTAACAAAAATTAATTAAGAAAAAGTAATAATTCTAGAAACGTCTTTCTATATACGAAGTAAATGATGATCAAAGGTAAAAATATAACTTCACGCAAACAAAAATCTATCAAGAATGTTAACAAGAAAACTTAATAGTTCTAGGAATATTTTTAGTTATTATTATTTCCATTTACTCAATTTGTTATTACTTCAATTTTTTATGAGTTATTGTGATATATATTCAATACTCTATTTTAGTATTAGTTAATTGAATTTTAAAAAAAGATTTATTCATTATACTTATTAAAAGTACCCACTTTAATAAAAAAATCATTATTTAGATTAGGGATAATACCCAATTACCCCCCTAACCTATACCCAAAATCCCTACGACACACCTTATCTTTGATGAGGTCCTATTACCCCCTCCAACTTTTTTTTAAGTAATATATTACCACTTGCGTGCCTACGTGGCAAAAATAATCTGCAAGATCAATTTGTTTGTTGAACACGCGCTGGGACCCACTTTTTCAGTTTTTCGATAAAGTAACTTTAATGAAATATACTCTTCCTCTCTCATGTCCCACCCCACTCCCTATGCCCCATAATTAATAAATCTATATGAATAAAGATAATGATTTTTGTTTCAAATTGTTAATATTGATCTTTTATTATTTTATCATTTGGTTTAATATAATTATCAAGTTCAGAATGAATAATCGACATAAAATAAGAATTAATAATCGACATAAAAAGATGTAAACAATACTTAAATTTTACTTTACCTTTTCAAATCAAGGAGCTTGAATGATAATGGATGGAGCTTCTTCAAAAATGAAGAACCATAAACATGGGGTTATTTTTTGAAAAGAGGAAGAAGATGCTTTGAGAGAAACAATAAAATTTATTTTTGATTTTTTTTCAAATTGCTTTGAGACGTGGCTCATTTTTATTGGCCATTGTTAGCCAAAAGCTGCACTCACTCTGCACTCACGCGCCCTAGATGGGTGAAATCGCGATTTTTGCCACGTAGGCACGCAAGGGGTAATATATTACTTAAAAAAAAGTTGGAGGGGGTAATAGGACCTCATCAAAGATAAGGTGTGTCGTAGAGATTTTGGATATAGGCTAGGGGGGTAATTGAGTATTATCCCTTTAAATTATAAAAGTAATTACTTTTATTTTTATTTTGGCTGTGATAAATATTAGCTGAAAAGAAATAAAGGTGATAAATTAATAATACATATTAGATTGAAACTAATGAATGAATAAATTAGTTGTAATACTAAAAACCTAATATTTTAAAAGATGTCAAAAAGTAACTTTACAAATAAAATGAATAGTAGGATGGTATATTAGCATTTAAACTAAACTAATAATCTTTACTAAATTATAAAAGAGTAGTTCTTCATTAAAATATACAATCAAATTTTTACTTTTATTTGATTTCAAACATATTAATCTGAATAGTGAACAAATGTAAGTTTGATTTGAATTTAAAATGGACGGGTCAAAATTTGATTTTTTTATTATATTGAAATATGAAGTTGAGGAAGGATAATATGGTCATTTCATTATATTTTAATTAAATTTTTTATAAATTCTATTTTTAAATTTGTCAAAATATTTTTTCAAGTGGCTAAATTTTCTGTAAGTTCCATGATTATTCTAGAAATTATAAATTACGAGATTTTTCTAGAATTAAATCCATGACACAAGTAAAAAGACACTAACATATTCTTCACTCCATTCACTCCTGAATTATCTCCCCTCTCATGTCTTATACCAATAAACTTATCGCCCTTTATTTCTAATTTGCATCCTAAATAATACACACTTCGGTATAGATCTCTTATTAGAAAGATTAATAATGTAGTTTTTTTCAACATTAATTGAGAACTTTATTTATGGTTAAATCCCTACATGATGGACCTACTTTGGTGAAATGGTCTATTTCAAGCTACAACCTTATAGACAAATATATGGGGCACTAAGGAAGCATTTGAAACTTTCGTCCAAGTATTATGGACTTTACAAGATTTTAGCTAAGACCTGGTCAGTTGCTTACAAGCTTGAGCTACCTGTCGACTCTAAAGTTCATCTAGTATTTTATGTGTCATTGCTCAAGAAGAAGGTGGAAACTACTGTAGTGGTGCAATCTGCTTTACCTAGCACTGGATAGGATGGTCAGTTCATTGTGTAACCAATAGATATCTTACAAAGACATATGATCAAGAGGAACACTACAACTGAGGTGAAAGTTTTAGTTCAATGAACCGATTTGCCTCCAGAAGATGCTACTTGACAAGTTTACAGCTTGAGTTTTTGATTAAAATCATCCTTGGAGTATGACCAAAACCTAAAATATATCCTTGTGTTATATAAGTGAACAAAAAACACCCCTGAACTATCCAAAAAGTTGCAAGATTCATCCTTTTGTCTATATTTTTTAAGAAACTCAAGCCCCAACAAAAAATGTATTAAGTCAAATGAATATATGTACGCATGGTTAAGCTAATCGAGTTAAGTGGTTTTTAAAACTTTTCAAAATTAAGGGTTTAAATTATATTCAGACAAAATATATTCAAATTCTAAATATTCTTTGGAAAAACAAATACTACTCCAACTTCAACAATTTCAAATACAATAAATATTTTTGTATTTTAATAACTAAACACTTACGTAGTTTTACTAAATTTTCAGCATTTCTATACATTGTATATATAGTATATATCCCTCAATATTTTACTAAAGAAAATCTCTTAATAGTTGGATGTAATATATTTGAAATGATTTTTTTACTCAATCTTTCTAACCTTCGGAATGTACTGTATGAATATTTCAAACTTATGTATTAGTGCAACTCAATTTACTTGGTGATGCAAAAACAAATACTCTATAAACTAACAACAACGAAATGTAAATTCAAGATTCATTTCCTATTCATACACTTATTCTTTTAAGTTATAGTTTTGATCTTCTCGTCGTGGTCAAGACGTGACCAAATATTAAAATAGTTTTTTAATTAGTTCAATCAGTTTACTAATAAAAATAGACTGAAGCATGATTCTTGTTAATTTTTTTTGGATAGTATAAGGATTTTTTTGGTTACTTAGATAATATAAGAGTTTACATTAGATTTAAGTCATAGTTGAGCGATGATTTTACCCAAAAATTCATTACAGTTTCCTCAAGGACGACTTTCCATGTATTGATTCACATCCTTGAGGTCAAGAATGAATTAATGGATGAGGGTATGTACCGATCCGGTTCAATAGAATTAATTAGGCAAATAAAGGAATGTCGGCAGTGGGAATGGAAGTCGAGTTGCGGAATAATAATGGAGTCCACATTAAATGGCTAAAATCATGAGTCATTAATGTGGTCAGCAACAGTAGTTATATAACGACATAGAAGGGAGGAATCACATAGCGATAATCCTGGTAAATCTTCCTCCTCTTCCTCGCACTCTCTCTCCTCTGTTCTTCTTCTCTCTTCTAATTCAAGATCTTATCTTCCTTTTTCTACAGAGTCGAGACTCACAATGGATGCCCATTTATTTTAGTTATCATAGAGTAGTTCAGTTTTCAATTTCTTGTAGTCAATATCTTGTTTTCCTATTGAATAAAATCAGAAAATTGTCCCAAAAACACGAGTTTCTACTCTTATTTGTGATCTACAGTCAGGTCTTAGTGAGGTCCTGACAATTTCCTTAGTAGCGGTGTCTTCTTGTTGTTGTGTAGTTGTTTCTTATATTAGCTGCTCAATGACTTATAGATGTTTTCTTCCTCTTCTCATTGAATAGAGTTGCTTGTTTCTTTCATAAATTGTATTGTTTTCTTGTTTTATTCAAGGTACTCTTCTTCTTCTTCCTCTTTTCCAACATTCAATAGGTTTAAAGTTTCGTAATCTGCTTTGTTTTCTTATGTACAATCAATAAAGATTATTGGGTTGAGCTTTCTTGTAGTTGATTCGATTTTGTGAAGTGACTTATGAGACTGTAAGAAAGAGAAATAAGGGTGTGTGATATTTCTTGCTTCGTCATATCTAACGACGGAGGATCATGGTGATCCTGGAAAGAAATAATTCCTCTATTTGTTATTAGAATTTAATCTTATATGAAATCAATGACTATCTTAGATGAAAATATTGATCTTTTTGATGATTTTTCGTGTAAATTATCATATAGTAGGAGTTAGGATTTGAGTCACCTCATATTCACAGTTAACTTTCCACCATCTCGTTCTGGGCACAAAAGGTTAAGTAGGCTGCTTTGACATAGTTTAAAAAATCACCTTTTTGCCCCCCATGTTAATCTATTTGAAGTCTCATCATTGTCTATGTGCAATTGTGGGGTTCAAGTACTGCCTATTAATTTTAAGTTAATTTATAATAATTCCTAGTGCTATTTATCCTTAGATCTTAATAACAAGTTGTTTGCATCATAGCATTTTTGTTATTTTTATGGTCTTGAAGGTAGGGGTATACCCACATGGGTTTCAAGGGGATCAACTGAATTCCCTCGAACAAAAATTACACCGTATATAGTAGGGGCGGACCCACGTGTCGTCCAGGGTGTTTACCCGAACACCCTCGATAAATACATTGTATACCTAAGGTGAATTTTTTGGATTGTGTTGATATATATATTTTGAACACACTGAATCACAAATGGATGAGATAGACCAGCGGTAGCTGAGCTCAAAGTTACGCGCGATGTCTAGGATTTGAGTCCCTAGGTTGGCGTTTTATTTTTTACATTTTTTGGTTTCAATTTTTTTAGTCAAATGTTTATAATTTTATTTTCCGAACCTCCTCAAAGAAAATTCTAGGTCCGCTACTGCTATATATATAGGGTAAATTTTTATTATTTATGTGGATATATGTATTTTGAATCCATTAATGACAACAAGAAATTGATAGTCAAATGGCAGATCTCTTGAAAGTAAGTTTCATGCTGAGGGTCCAAATTCCTCTATTAGCGTTCTATTTTTTTCTTCTTACTTTTCAGTCTTTTCACTTTTTTTTTTAGTTTTTTATTTTGTAAAACGTCTTTTTTGTTTTAAACTAAATAATGAAGAGGTCCTCCACTAAAACTATATACAACTACTTCCTTGAAATTTTGTTTTATTAAATTATTTACATATTTATACTTTTATTTTTCGAACCCCCAAAATGAAAATCCTTGATCCAGCACTACTTGAAGGTTATGACACCTAGTACGCAATGAATGCAACTTATAAATAACTGACTCGATGCAATCTACTTAGTTGGCGTGGAGAAGTTTTGGATTATGCCTTCAAAAAATAGGAGAAGAATATGAAATACGATGTTCATTTGTCAAATATTACAATACAACTTTAAGAACTCGTCAAATAGTTGAGACACATTTTCTAGTATATGGAATACTTCGTAATTGTAGATTTGGTATAACCATGGAGAACGTTTGGGTGAGCGATTATCAGAATCATAATCAAGAGATGAAGATGAAGAACAATATGGTGAGGCAGTAGAAAAATGTGAGAGTGAAGATGAAGTAGAAGAGTTATTGAGGGATTTGTATCTTAATCATGACGGAGGAATTATGCATACTGATTGTGATGACTTACTTGAAGAGGAACCAAATTTTGAATTTTTTTTCTACAAGCTATCAAAGGATTTCGAGTTGCCATTATACCAAAATTCAAAAGCTTCAAACCTTCCCTTTTTGATAAATTCTTCATACTAAAAGTATGGGTCGTTGAAGTAATGCATCATTTACAATGCCATTGAAACTATTGAAAGAAGAGTTACTGTGTAACATCTCGTATCCAAAAAAGACTAAAAATCAGCTTTTCAGAAAAATTGCAGGTGCAATCGAAGGTCACCATCTACGGACCGTACTGTGGGTCCCTAGATTGCCACTGTAGCCCCCTATAAAACGCAGCTAAAAAAAATCGACTAAGTATTGATCCACAGACAGACCAATGGCCCGTAGTTTGTGTCCGTGGATCAAGACACAAATACCCAGTCTCTGACATGAACTACAGATGACCACCACAGACAGTATGGTAGACTTCGATGTCATTCTAGGCATGGATTGGTTACATTTCTTTATGCCTTAGTCGATTATAGAACTATGATTATTTGTTTTAAGTTTCCAAACGAACCAATCTTATAATGTAAGGGTAATAGCTTAGCCCCTATGGGATGATTTATTTCTTACGTTAAGCCAAGAAAGATGATCTTTAAGGGTTATCTCTATCATTTAGTTCGGGTTAAGGATTATAGCTTTGAAACCCCAACTCTTGAGTCAGTTCCAGTAGTCAGTAAGTTTCCAGAAAATCTTCCCGCTCTTCCTTCCAAAAGGGAAATCGACTTTGGAATTGATCTCCTTCCAGATACCCAACCTATTTATATTCCTTCTTGAAGAATAACTCCAACTGAGAACAAGGAATTGAACGAGTAGTTGAAAGATCTTTTAGACAAGGGATTCATCAAACCTAATATTTCGCCATGGGGTGCTAGATATTTCTCGAAGATTGACCTCAGATGAAGTTATCATCAGCTTAGAATCAAAGATAGTGACATTCTAAGACAGTCTTGAAAACTCGGTATGTTTATTTTGAATTTGTAGTATGTCGCTTGGACTAACAAATACTCCTGTAGTTTTCATGGATTTGATGAACAGAGTGTTCAAAAAATACTTGGACTTGTTCGTTTTCATCTTTCTTGATGATATCCTCATCTGCTCTAGGAATGAGGAAGAACATGCAGGTCATTTGAGAATTATTCTACTGACTCTCAAAATCACCAATTATTTGCTTACTTTAGCAAATATGAGTTCTGGTTACAATCAGTTGCTTTCCTTTGTCACATTGTATCTAGAAAGGAGATTCGAGTGGATTTGCAGAAGATAAAAGTAGTTAAACAATGGCCCAGACCTACCTCTGCTATAGATATCTGACGTTTCTTAGGCCTAGTAGGTTATTACAGAAGGTTCGTGGATGGATTCATCCAAAGCCTCACTATTGACTAGGTTGACTCAAAATATGGTCAACTTTTAATGGTCAGATGATTATGAGAAAAGCTTTGCAGAATTGAAAACTATATTGACTACAACTCCTGTCTTGAATACAAAGGGTTTAGATGGTTGTGTGATCTATTCGATGAATCCAGAGTTCCTAGGTTGTGTGTCGATACAACGAGATAAGGTTATAGCTTATGCATCTAGACAACTTAAGGTGCATAAAAAGAACTATCCAACTCATGACCTTGAGCTTACAACAGTGGTGTTTGCACCCAAGATCTGGAGACACTACTTGTATGATGTTCATGTTGATGTGTTCACTAATCATAAGAGCCTTCAACATGTGTTTACCCAGAAAGAGTTAAATCTTTGCTCGAGGAGACTTGAGTTCCTTATGGATTATGATATGATTGTGCATTACCATCCTGGTAAGGCAAATGTGGTAGAAGATGCCCTTAGAAGATTAACACTGGGTAGTGTAGCCCATGTTGAGGAAGAAAGGAAGAAACTAGTGAAGGATGTCAACAGGCTTGCTCGCTTGGGAGTTTGCCTTATGAGCATATCAGATAGTGGTGTAACAGTTCAGAATGAGGTATAATCTTCTTTGACAATGGAAGTTAAGGAAAAGTAAGACAGTGATCCAATCTTTCTTGAACTTAAGGGTGCAGTCCATAATCATAGAGTGGAGGTTTTCTCCCAAGGGGAGATGGTTTAATTCGCTACAAGGGTAGATTATGTGTTCCTAATGTGGGCGAGTTCAAACATCATATTCTTGCAGAAGCCCATAACTTCAGATATTCTATTCATCCAGGTGCCACTAAGATGTACCACAATATGCGGGAAATCTACTGGTGGAATGACATGAAGAGGGATATAGCAGATTTTGTGAGTAAGTACCCCAATTGGCAGCAAGACAAGGTAGAACATTAGAAACTAAGGGGTATGACTCAAGAGATTGACATTCCAAATAGGAAGTAAGTATTGATCAATATGGATTTCATCGTAGGGTTACCTCGTACTCGCAGACAGCATGACTCCATTTGGGTGATAGTTGATAGGATGACTAGGTCTTCTCGTTTTTTGGTAATCAATACTACATATTCTATGGAGGACTATGCCAAGATTTATATTAATGAAATTGTGAGGTCGCATGGGATTCCTTTTTCTATCATCTCAGGTAGAGGTCCTCAGTTTACCTCTTATTTTTGGAAGTCATTTTAGAAGGGTCTTGGTACTTATGTTAACCTTAGCAAAACATTTCATCCGCAGACTGATGGACAGGAAAAACGTACTATTCAGACCCTAGAGGATATTTTGACATCTTGTGTAATCATTTTAAAGGGTAGTTGGAATGATCATCTTCCTCTTATTGAGTTTGCCAATAACAATATTTACCATTTAAGCATTCAGATGCCTCTTATGAGGCATTGTATGGGCGTAGATTTAGATTTTCTCTTGGTTGGTTTGAAGTAGGTGAAGAAAATTTGATAGGGTCAGATTCATTCCTTTATGCTTTGGAGAATGTACAACTCATTAGAGATAGACTTAAGGCATCTCAGAGTCGGAAGAAATAGTATGCAGATGTAATGAGAAGGGAACTAAAGTTCCAAGTTGATGATTGTGTTTTCCTGAAAGTGTCACCTATGAAGGGGGGTGATGAGATTTGGAAAGAAAAGGAAGGTCAATCCTAGATATATAGGCCCTTATAAGATCTTAAAAAAGGTTGGCAATATGGGATATGAGTTAGAGTTGCCAGTAGAACTAGAAACAATGCATCTAGTCTTCCACATCTCGCTCTTGAAGAACTGTGTAGGTGATCCAGCCTCCGAGGATATACTAGTTGAGATTCATTACTGTCATGTTAGAAGGTTGAGAAACAAAGAAGTCACTTCAAACAAGGTTTTGTGGAGGAGTCTGTAGAAGGAGCTACTTGGGAAGCAGAAGCAACCATGAAAGCAAAGTATCCTTACCTCTTTTCTTGTGAATCCAATCCAGCTTGAGGTAATAATTTCTCTTCAGTTTTTAGTCAAATATGCGGGAATTCAACCTTAGAATCATGTTCCCTCAGTTTGTACTTGCATTTTCAGCATATTTGGAAGTCCTTCGCACTCAATTCAGTCAAAAACTCAGTTTCAAGTGTTTAGTGGTAGGCATTGCAGCCTCTCCCTCTATTTTAGCTAGTTTAGTCTTCATTCGAGGATGAATATTCTCAAGGGGGAGATAATGTAACACCCAGTATCCAAAACAGACCAAAAATCAGCTTTAAAAAAAATTTCAAGTGCAATCGAAGCTCACCATCTACGGATTATAGTTTGATATACGGCCCGTATTGTGGGTCTGTATATTACCACCATAGCGCCTCCAAAATTCATCTTAGGAAAAATTTGTTAAGCCTCAACCCAAGGACAGACCTACGGTCCATAAGTCAGACTACAGTATGTAATCTATGTCTGTGGATCAAGACCCCATTACGCAGCCTCTGACATGAACTACGGATAACCATAACAGAACGTCATTTGATCTACAGTTTGTAGGTCTGACTGTAAGTGAAGGTTAGCAACTAGTTAGGGGGAAATTGTTGTTGGGTCAACTTTAAATGCTCATAACTTTTAGCACAAAATGAAATAGGTGTCCCATAACCTATACGATGATATATAATTGAATCAGCTTTCTAGGGCCACCGAGTGTCACATCCGGGAATACCCCCTAGACGTAACTGGCGTCGTCGTCCTCATGGAGGACTAAGACTAGCCTCTTAGATTACATCATTACATTCATAGGTCAAATTTAGAGGAAATTTAAAACTTTTTATTACTTCTACTTGCAGATTTACATAGACCTCTGCATTCACATATTGTGTGTGTGTATATATATATATATATATATATATATATATATATATATATATATCGAGTATACATAGACCCTTCGTATAGAAAGATTACTTAGTCTTCTACTTTTATTGCACATAAGCATATAAAATATAACATAATCATACTAGTCATCTCATCTTATAATAATCTAATAAGAGTGTAAAAACATGGGAGTTGCCCATACATCAAATTAATAATGCCTCACATGGTCTATACAATGTTTCACACTAAATGGAAAAGAAAGAAACATAGAATTCTTAAACTCAAAACAACTCCATTAGCTAGAAAGTGGCATCGCGCCCTCAAATAGTCGTCTTTAGAAGCACTTCAACGACAAAAACCTAAATTGTTGGGAAAAAGTAAGAAATGGGGTTAGTACACCACTTGTACTAAGTATGCACACATACTTTGGAAATAAGCTAAGAAAAGGGAAATGTCATAAATCTATGCCATTTACTTTGAAAACATTTATGCATATTCAACAATACTATACCAAATTACTTAGGCATATTCATTATGTCATAGACATGTACATCAGAAGACCAACAACATCAAAACTAGTCAAGTCAACTTGCATATCATGTATTGAATACATGGTCAAGTATGATAAAGTCATAATAGCAACAACCATGAATGAGAGTACATTTCATCATTACTAAAGCAACACAATTACCCATGAATCCCTATCAAGTCAACAAGTGCAATGACCAAGAAAAGCCCTATAACCTTATTCAATCAAGTAACCCAACAAGAATTATGACTAACATCCTACTTCTCATATCATAACATTGAAGAGTACATAGCATTATGCTTTAACAATATAGACCAACACATATTCATAAGTGACACCAATCAACATATAGTATCAACAATGTGCACGTTCACCATATACATGTCATGTAGAATTTTAAGCATATTCATACATAAGAACATCCTTATAAGACTCCCTTCAAGGATAAATAGTGCAATGTTTAGGTAGAGTCCCATACCCCTACCTAGACTAAGCTAAGCCCCTTAGGTCATCTTAGTTAGAGTTCATTCCTGTAATTCATTTTACCTTTTGGTAACATCTTTCCCTAACCGACATAGACCACATGAGGTAATGTGGAATCCGATGTCATGGAATCCTAAATTGAAAGAAGGAGGACCACTTCCCAAGGTAGTACAAAAACATGAACAACAACTACTATGTGGATCCACTAACTAGTATTCGTACAGGGGAAACATAGTTCAACAACTAGGATATATAGTTGGGACCCTCTTTATGCTACATGCATTGTAGTATCCAATATCAAGAGTACATTAGTGATTCTACCATACCTATGTGGGAACGGACACTCCTCACTCTAGTTCACTCGGTGCTAAGATAGATTCCCTTTTGAAATATCTTTAATGTCTTTATTAATCATCATAGATTATTGTAGGTTATAGGGCCTAACCCTTGTATAACATTATCATCATCATATCTCAATAAGAATTGCATGATTATTTTCCTTTCATTACAAATCATATAGGTGATGTTAGCACATTATTATTTTCATATCATGATAAGACACATTGGTAAATCATTCACCATCCTTATAACATTTACATCTTAAGCCAAAACGTCACAAAACATAGTCAAGACATTTGAATTAAACATCATACCACCCAATCAATCCTATAAAAGTCATATTCCAATACCATATCATGAATTAATTAAAATTAACCACAATTCGATGTAAAGGATAGGGATCATAAGACTTAACAAGTATCCTTCATAATTCATCATCAAGGTCTTATTGTCAACCCTTAATTCAACCCAATTAGGGTATAACATCATCATAATTCAATGACCAACATAATAACAAGGATAAAAGAATCACTACATCACAATTCAATACTAGATCAAGCTATAGACAAGATACTCAGGTCAATTAACAACAAACTTCATAACCTAGATAAATTCATAAGAACTAGAATGATAGGACTATAATTAATCCTAATTTATTCATAATTGATACAACCATACAACATTAATTCAACCAATAATCAATTCAATTGAACCAATACAATACAATTCTTGTGAAAATCACAACATAGGGTTAATGGGAATAGGTCATCTTTTATAAACTAGACTAATCCATCAAGAAATAACATAATTAAGTTAGAATATATGTTAATATATTCATACTATCCAAAATAAATTATAAATAAATTAATTCATAACTTCAATTTTGAGATTGGATGAAACTCACTTGAAACTCAATTTTAGAAATCAATTTGATGGAACCTTTTGAGGAAAGAGGTGTCAAAGGTGAATCACATCCCATACCTTACTAATTGATAAATTTTGATGGAAAAACTTGACTCTTTGCAGACCTTAAGACCTTCCCCAGCTTGGTCTTCAATGGTGTTCTTCACTAGAGCGAGAAAGAAGAGAGTTTTGGGTTTGTGAGTTATGAGAATTTAGATTAGTTTAATGGCGTTTGAGTCTTCATATGGGGTGTTAATTAACTTAATTATACTTACCATAGTCACCAAATAATTACCTAACCCCTTAATTAATTAATTAGACTAAGTCAAAATGTGCAGAAAATTAGACCATCACTAACGACACCAAGATCGACGGATCATGGGTCAATCGACGGCCAACCCCCCTCCTTGCGTGCTGCACATTCATAGATTAGTTCAAAGACTGTGAAAAAGATCCCCTTCAAGTATTTTTCTAAGTGTTGGTATACGTATGGCATCGATGCACCATCGATCCACACACGCCTAGTAGACTGTCTTCGTGGGTGCACATTGCCCAGGCTGTGTTTGACTCCAACGTGCAAGGGTCCTCCTCAAGCGCCCTTGGTTGGTCCTTGGGGAGTCGTACCCAGACCTTTCAACTATGAATCAACTTAAACACATGTTAGACACTCTTCCACCAATTTTCATTATTTTTTGACTCTTAAAAGCTAGTCAAATAGGCTAAGGCACGCGAGCATCTCATTGAACTAGTTTTCCGAAGTCATTGATGTTCTTGGACGTTTTGGTTTCTAGACTTCCTACATGACTTATATTCATTAAAATAGACCTTAAAACAATGTCTAAACCTTATGAAACTTATATTAGGCTGTAGAACACGTCTTAGATTTTGGAAGTGTTAGATTATCCCCCCTCTTAGGAACATTCATCCCCGAATGACACTAAAAATTCTTTTGAAGGAAGGAATAGACTCAAAACTAGAATCCCAAACAACAACAATAGATAACAATACCCACCATATCTTTTACACAAGGCAATTCAAAAAGCTTCAATTACCACACAAAGGCTCAACATTACATTATGAGGAGTATCCTTCTCACAACAACACGAGCTCAACATAGTATTTATGGGTCAATTATGCCAAAGTTCAACTTACCAATATGTTACCTATCATTTAATTAAGACTCACCATATAAAAATGCACAAGATAAGTCAAACAAAAGAAAGTTGCAATTTATTGACATCCTTCACTATAATCGCTGTAACAACATCCCAAAAAATGCACATTTTGCAAAACTTCTCTAAAAAGCAAAGAAACTTAAATTTTTGTCTTTTTTTCCTCTATTAGTAAGAACAAATAACCTTAGTTGTCAAATAGATGAGGATAACGGGACTTCATGTCGGCCTCGGCCTCCCATGTTGCATCCTCAACTAGGTGATTCTTCCATAACACCTTTACGGAAGCCACCTCTTTGTTCCATAACTTCTTTACTTGTCTATCAAGGATTTGTACTAGAACCTCCTCATAAGAGAGGTTATCTTATACACCAAGACCCTCAATAGGAAGAATAGAATCAGGATCACCGATACACTTTTTAAGCATAAAAACATGGAAAACAGGATGAATCGAAGCCAATTCACTAGGCAACCTTAACTCATAGGTAACCTTATCAACCCTTTGCGATATTTCATAGTGACCCACATAACGAGGACCTACTTCCCTTTCTTGCCAAATCTAACAACCTCTTTCATAGGTGAAATTTTCAAATACACCTTATCACCTCTTTCAAACTCTAAATCCCTTCTCCTATGATCGACATAAGACTTTTGCCGACTATACGTCATTTGCAACCAGTCCTTATGATATGAACTTTCTCCAAAGTTGTATAAATCAAATTGGGACCAAGAAGCGAAGGTTAAACTACTTCAAACCATCCAATAGGAGACCTACACCTCCTACCATAAAAGGCTTCATAAGGATCCATGGATATGAATGAATGTAAACTATTATTATAACCGAACTCCACCAAAGGCAAATGCTTATCCCAATTCCCCTTGAAATCTATAATACAATAACTAAGCGTATCTGCAAGGGTTTGATTAGTAAGTTTCGCTTGACCATCCATTTGGGGATAAAAAATAGTAACTTCACCTTACTACCCAACCCTTCTTGGAATGACCTCCAAAACCTAGATGTGAATTGTGCAGCCCGATCCAATATGATGGATAACGGAATACCATGGATATATAAAATCTCATCTATGAAGATCTTTGTATAATCTTTCGCTGAATAAGTAGACTGGACGGGAGGACTTGGTCATCCTATCTACAATTACACAAATAGAGTCATATTGTTTTTTTGTTTGAGGGAAACCTACTACAAAATCCATATTGATGTCTTCCCACTTACAAGTAGGAACTTAAATTTCTTGTAGTAAACCACCCGACTTTTGATGCTCGACTTTTACTTGTTTTAAATTTGGACACTTAGCAACAAACTCCACTATATCGTTTTTCAAACCTTCCCACTAAAGCACTTCCCTAAGGTCATGGTACATTTTTGTCGAACTTGGATGAATGGAGTAGCGGAAACCATGGGCTTCTTGAAGGCCCGGTTCCTGAACCCATCTTCATTGGGAACACATAATCTTTCTTGATACTTTAAGTCACCATCCCCTCTTAAGGAGAATGACTCATTAAACATACCAAGAAGCGAGTTCCTTCAACTCCATCAATGATTGATGAAGGTGTTGTGTGGACTTTACCTCAACTACCAAAGATGACTCGGAGTTATGATGGACCATGAAACCACCATTCGAAGAATCTTCCAACCTCACACCCAATATAGACAACCTATGAAAATCCTTCACTAGGTCTTTGTTGGCTTTCTCTATATGAGACACACTACTCATGGATAACCGACTTAGAACATTCGCAACCACAATGGCTTGCCGGGGTTTTAGAGAAAACTCATGTCGTAACCACCTTCTTTGAGAGATTCAACTCCTTTTGGGTAAACACATATTGGAGACTCTTGTGGTTAGTTTACACATCAACATGGACACCATACAAGTAATGCCTCCATATTTTCAAGGAAAATACCACATCT